TGTTTGTTTAACTTTTTAAAATTTCATGTTGGTTTAGTAATATCATTGGTATTGGTTTGGTTTTGTCACTGTAAAACTAACATGACTCAATTTTGTCAACTTTGTAATAGAATAAAATAGAAACATAAATATGTATTTATCAGTGTGTAAAATAAATATAGTTTTTATTTTTTTTCATTAAATTAGTTTGTGTTTTGCCAAAATATTATTGCCTTAAAATTCCATGAGAAATTGTGAATAACCACCAATATATCCACCCAATCCAACAAAAAGCCCCCATCGCAAATACAAACATCACACACCCCATCATCAAAAATCAACACCCCACAAATCCCTCAACATCCCAAAAAAACTTATACCACAATCCACACAACAAAACACAATTAAAAAACACACCCCAACCAAAAACCTCCCACAAATAAAAACCCATCCACCACCCCCACAAATAAATACATAACACACCAACCCAAAAATACTCATCCAATCATACAATCAAACACAACAAACAAAAACAAACCCAAAACAAACCACACAACCTCACACATCTCCATCCCCAAAACAACACCCAACACCACATCCAAAACCCCAAACCACTACAATAACAACCCCCAAGCTGCGAAGCAAATCAGCGCATATCATGGCTAAACCTTATATACCGACCGTTGAACCCCACCACCACGACCACGCACAACTGAAAATTGTCATACCTCTAAAATCATTCTAGTATGCTAATAAATAATTAATAAGTTATTTTTTAATAGTATACCTATATATTGTATCGATAGCTTTCAAACAGATTGAAATAGTGTGTATACTGAGCAAAAATATCAAAATATCAATAAAAGATATCAATATTTTAAAATAGAATAGAATAGAAAAATAATTTTGTTCTGGGACGAAGTCCCTTCAGAATAACAAAAAAGTACAGAAATTAAAATTTTATATCTGGCCAGATGAAAACAAACATAAAAAGTTAAGATAAAGATAGATCATTAAAAAAAAAAAGAAAAAAAAATATTGGTTATACATATTATATACAAAATAAAATAAAAAATCTATATAAAAAACTCTTGAAACCATACTAAGATACTTAAAACTATGTACAATGTTAAAATATAAATAAACCCTTTTAGAATAAATATAAAATACAGAAAAAATAAATGTAAATTCTTCTTAACAGTAAAATCTGTGTTTCTGTTGAAAAAAAGAGAAAGTCAAATCTATAATAAGTATTTAGGTTATGAGTTATATGTTATTATAAATAATATGTAATTTTACATAAAAGGTTAGCTGGTATCTTAAGATAAAGATAGATCATTAAAAAAAAAAAGAAAAAAAAAATATTGGTTATTCATACTATATACAAAATAAAATCTTTTTTGGGACAGGAATTGGAATAGGAGGGTTTTGAATGTAGATAAGGATGAAGAATGTCGAATTTTGATAGGAAGGGAATTCCAGAAACTAACAGAACGAGCAAGAAAGGAGTTTTGGAACGAGGCAGACCTGTGAGAAGGAATGTAAAGGTCGGAAGATCGAGATCTTGTGGAGAGGGAGTGGACTGAGGACTTGAATTGGAGAATGTTGTAGGTGTAGGAAGGACGATGATTGTTGATGATATGATAGAGAAATGTACCTATGAAATATTGTCTTCGAATGGAGGGGAAGAGCCACTCTAACTCAGTGTACTGGTGAGAGACATGGTAGTATCTTGGGGCACCAATTACAAATCTCATGCAACTGTTCATTAATCTTTTCAGTCTGTCGCGGAGCTCCACCGAGAGTCCATCATACACCACACAGCAGTAGTCAAAGTGGGGGAAGATGAGAGAGGAAACGAGGAGTCTACGCGTATGGTATGTTAAGGTAGGAGATGGCGGAAGCGATGGAATAGTTTGAGGGTAGAAACTGTCCGTCGGGAGATGTGAGAAATATGGTGACTCCAGGAGAGGGTTTGATCAATAAATAGTCCTACATTTTTTACAGAGGAGTAGAAGGAGATTGGCTGGTCACCAAGGTTTAGTATGGGAAAGTCGGTATAGGTCTAAGAAGGGGCTTGGAACCAATGACAATGGCCTGAGTTTTTGAAGCATTTAACCTTCATCCGTTTAAGTTTGCCCAGGCACAGATTCGATCTAGGTCTGCTTCGATCTTAGTAAATGCTACCAATAGCTCAGGAGGAGAAAAGGATAGGTATGTTTGAGAATGGTCTGCATAAAGGTGGTGGGAACAATGGAGAATTGAGTCATGGAGGTCATTAATATAGGAACTAAAAAGGAGAGGAGATATGCTAGATCCTTATTGGTCTTAATGGTTTTAATCTTTGACAGAATGGAAATAGTGACAAATATCAAAACTCTCGCTTAACCAAACACTGCAGATGACATTAAATTTAATATTTCAGGTACATTTGTGATTCTGGAACACTAATTTAATTAGAGCTAGTCTGTTTGGTCTTATTTCCCCAGTACTTTTACTATAACTCTTCCAGAATTGAGGTCTCAGAGAAGTCTTCTTATTGAGTCACTAATTTTTTAATTTTTAATACTTATCTATTCTTGATTTAAGAAATAAAGTTGCATAAATTCCGTAGTTTGTCTAATATTAGTGAATGGTTCAACAGCCAAAGGTGAGCGTTGAATAGCAGCGTAATACCCATGGTCCTTTTATAAGTTTTGTTAAAAGTTGACCAATTTTGACAATGACTATATAAACTACTTACTTTTGATATAAACAATTAAATTATTTAAAACATCTTATTTTTGTCCTATACTTTATGAGACCAGTTATTTATTACAACATCACTTATTGTGAAAAATTGTCATTTATTTTCACCAAAACACTTTTTTTATTTTCATACTAATGTTTTCCTTTTGGCAAATTATTAAATCAAAAGTTGACCAAAATTAAAAATCCAGAGGGCTTAATCTAGACATCCTGAGAAACTGCCAACACAATATCCTTCTAACAATATCCCCTAACAACCCTCCGTCAGAGTCCCTACCCTTGTCCAGAGGCGTTCCACAAGGTTCCTCACTCTCTCCCCACCCTTTTTTTCATCTACATCAATGACCTTACATCCTCTTTCCTTCACTGTGAATACTACCAGTATGTCGACGATGTCCAAATTTACCTTTCCTTCGACCCAGTTGATTTTTCTGGTGCCATCTTAAGACTCCACGAAGACATCAACAGAATATGTGCTTGGGCAAACGTAGGCTCACTCTAAATACTGAGAAGACAAAATTCATCCTGATCTGATCCCCCTCACTCCTCAAATCCATTCCTGTACCTCCTAATCTTCTCCTGAACAACACACATCTCATTCCTTCATTCTTATTTAAAATTATTCTTCTAATTAAACACCTTGATGTTACCTTTGATCAAGCTCCCTCCTGGAAACCAAATATCTCAAAATTCCTGTTGCACCATTTCTACCCTGAAACAGTGCAACCGTCTATGCTACCTCCTTCCATCCAAAACCCTTCAACTCCTGATATCCTCCACTTTGACTACAATTGTATGGTGTATGGTGGACTCTTGGGAGAAGTCAAAGCCAAACATAAACACCTAATGAATTATTCTATAAGTTTGGTTTTTGGGATCTCCAATATTACCTGGTACTACACCAAGATGAAGTGATTCTATCTGTACTACCGCCTCAGAACTTCCTTGCCACCTTTTTATAGCAGGCTATTAGAACCTCCTATATTTTACAGAGCCTACAATTTAAATCCTCCATTCAATCCCATCCCATAAGATCCTGTATGTCCGACCTCTATTCTTCTGAAATCAATGAGTTTTTTAAGAGAACTCTCTTAATACCCATAGAAACTATCTTATTTAATTATTTTATTTCATGTTTGTTTTATATATATGATTTTTTTTTCTTTCCTCCTCTTTCTTTTTGTATCCTTATACTTAACTACTTATAATTTTTTAATTACTTAATTTAATGTATGGCCACACTGACATTTCTTATTTGCTCTATATATTTTATTTATACTAAAGGGACAACAGTCCCAGAATAATAAAAATATTTTTATTTTATCAAACAACCAGTCTAAAGCTTTTATGAACTCTGTGACATTTTCTAACAATTACTTAATTGATCAAGCAGCTTCATTTTGCTATAATACCCCATGTTTTCTACATATACTCTAAAATATCTTATTGGTTGTTCTTTGCTTGAGTTTTGCTGCCAAAAAATTAATTTGTGCAGAACCATCAAAGTTAACTCCTTACCAAATCTACATTGAGCTTGTATAATGGCTTCATTCTATCCTGAAATAAATCATGAATTTGATTTATTTTTATTAAGGCTTTGTGAAATCAGTTGGCAATTTTCCAAAAGAATCACTGCACACCTCACTCTTCAGGCAACAAGCCTACATGCAGGTGAGGATTGGTAATTTTGAATAACTTAATTTTCATTAAATCATATGAGACTTATTATATAAATAATTTACATTGTTAAAATCCAAAGTGTGTTTCATTTTCCCAACATTTTCTGCAAAAAGCTTTTGGCAGGACTAGCCTATCCTTATTACAGGACTACCATTATTACTATTTGATAAGTCAGTTTCAGGAAATAATTATTTAAACTAGATCATGCCTGTTATGATAGCAAGAAATACATAAAGAGTGAAACAAATTAATAATTCATTTAACAAAATATTTTGAAAAATGTACCTTCGTATTGTTGAGATTGATGAAAAGCGGATAGTTTTTGTGTACTGTATTAACAGTAAAATTTCACTTAACTGTTAATATTTTATCCTACATCTCCAGAAAACGAAATGAAATTTAAACATTTTTAGGACATTTATTTTTAAAATAGAATAGGGATTTAATTATTTAGGCATGGTTCAAATTGAAATACAATATTAATAAGACAAAATGATTGTATTAGAAACAAATAAATAATAAGGATTCATTGATAAGATCTATCACTGAGGATTTAGAAGTAAATCTAATAATAGAAAATGATGGAAAGGAGGTTAAAATCACAAATAAATGAAGATTTAATTTTATTGTTATAAAACCTATATTTGGTTAACATTTATTTCAAAAACATTCTATTAAATATTTACATAATTTATCATTGAAGCAAAATTATACTCCATAGTATGTACATATTTGAAGCCGATGAGTCCTTGCAAGTATTTTTTTCTTAAATCAATAACCTTAAGTGTCTATATCAATAAATTTTATTCATTATAGGAATATCCGTTAAGCAATATACAAATTTTATATTTACATGAGGTCCTTCTAAACATGCAGGTATAATCTATATGCATAATACTTGTTTAAGGGTTCGTGCTTGCGAGACTAAAACTTAACTTTAATATTTACAATAGTCCTTGCAGCCTCGGGAATGCAAATCCCTCTTCTCTTTTATTACATCATTAAACATTTTTAAATTTAGTCACTTTTTGCAAAAAATAACTATCACATGAATGCGGCAAATAGGAGGTAACTCTTTAGGAGAGAATGAGAGAGAGACACACAAAGGTGGGTTTAGGCTTTGGAATTATTTAAATATACAACTGGTTATCAGCTGGTTGGTGCCTTCAGTACGGACTGTTGTTGAGACATGTTGTTGTTGAGGTCACCAGATCCTATACTCCTCACAGGGGTAGGGCCCAACGATGGTGACTGTAAAGTAAAAACAATTACATATTACTTATAACTATTGCACTGAATAAAAACAAATAAATAAATGAGTAATTAATAATGGCATGCACTCTTAATATTAATAATTAAATGGAGAACATAAGATTAATAAATGGAAGATATTAATACTCAACTCATAACAAAAATATTAACAATTATAATGGTTTTAAATAGTGTTGTGTTTAAAATCTGTTTTTTATCACCAACAGTACAATGGTTACAAGTGGGAAAGGAGTAGGAGAGGAGGGGAAGAGAGGAGAAAAGAGAAAAAATGAAATTAATAATACTTTTTCATTTTTTGCCACAAGATGGTTTGATCATTGGTTTTCTAGAGAGCTAGATTTCTTGGTTTTCTAGGGAGCTAACTAATTTGAAAAATATACATTAACTGGCGACCTAACAAACCGAAGATAACAAGTTCTGATACTGGTGCCAGAGACTTTCAACTTTGGTATTAATCCCCGTCCTCTCCCCTAGTCCGGGATAAACCCAGGTAGGACGACAAAGGGAGGAACGACCAAAAAAAAGCTGGTTATATTTATAAATTAATACCAGAGATACGCTTGTGGCCAAAATTAATGTACCACTTTATTTATTTTACAATAACCTATTAGTTTTACAATTCATAGTTTTTTTTGTTTATGTGTATTTGAAGCTTATAACAATGAAAGCATTAGTCTACTTCAATCACATCTCTCAACGAATCAATAAGTGATTCCTGTTTTATCTTTTAATCTCTTCTAATAGATAGAGTGGTAAGGTCAAAATTAGTCTTAGAAGACTTGTCACTAAACGTTTTAATTTGGTGTTCTAAAGACTCAGTGGATCTTTTATTTCATAGCAGTATTTTTTAAAAGAATATTTCAATGCTTCTGAATAAGAATTGAAGTAATTATAATTCTGAACAGATCTGGTTATGTATCAAAGTATAGAGCCAGAGTGCGCTTGCTTGGAGGCTTCATGTTCATTACACAACAATAACTTAGACTAAATTTTTAAGATGTCTGTATTATTAATAAATAATGAACCAATACTAATTTACAATTTCATTCTTTGATTCTCTTCTACAACTTCAAAAGTTTAGGGTATCTTTTGGGGTAACATTCCTCTTCTTCAAAAATATTTCACTTTAATTAAAGTGAGTTCAGTTATTGCACCAATCTGATTATGGATTATATTTATTTAATAAAAGTTTTAAACAGTTAATTTATATTTTACAAATATAGTTTCTATGTATAGGTGCAATAATTGATCCAAGATTATATAAAAAGTGACTGAAACAATAACTTCAGGGGAAGTAAAAGAGAATAAAATGATGAAATTTGAAGTTTGTTTTTGTTCATTATTTATTTGTAATTAAAGATTTTCATATTCAGTAAATATTAATTAAATAAAGCGAGACAAATTAATTTTTATTTTTAAATATTAATTCTAAATACCTTATTATTATTAAAATAAAGAAGAAAATTAATTATTGTTAATAATTTTTTGGGAGATTGAAGTTATTTAGTTCTCTTGAAAACATACTGGCACAAATATTGATAATCATAGTTACAATGTTTAACTTTAATCAAGTACTTAGTAGGGAGATATTAGGTATTAATAGCTAATTTGTATTGATACAAAATTATGAATGCTCATCAAGGATGACTTACTGGAATTTGTCCATTGGCTTGTCTTTTAAGTTGAGCTAGCTGGTTTGGGTTGTAGGCCATGTTTGCGAACACTAATCGCTCTTCATAGTCATATTCACAAAGTATTTTGTTGTCACAGAGATAAAATCTGTCACCAACACAGAATCTGTTGGAAAAAAATGTAAAGTTAGTATTCAATATAATTTAAACAATGAAACATGTATAATCTTAACTTAAAAGTTATTACAAAAAAAGTTTAATTTTCTCAACTATTGAATATCGATTTCGAAAATATTTTGGCAATGATGCAAAATAAAAAGATTGGTTGGACATAAATAGGATTCTGGAGGGAGTTGCATCTCCTTCACCCCATTCCATCAACCTCTCCAAGCTTTGTATGATAAGAGATTTAATTAATTTTGGTGAATTAATTTACATTACTAGCACCCATTGCTCTTGTCCAATTTTATATTTTAAACCTGTTTAAAGCTACTTAATAGATAGTAAATTAAAAATATAAATATTTGATTGTTTTGTAACTGTGTCATTACACTTAAGTTACAATCTATGATTTTAACATTACAGGTTGGTGGGTGTCCCTCTCTAAGAAATACGCATCATCCACTCTTGAATTGGACTTAGTAACAAGTTCAATCAATTCAATACAAAAGTGGATGATAAATTTCTGGGTTTAAATAGAATAGCCTCTATTAGAAATGTGATTAATGTTCAGCCATAACAAGGTTGCTACAATGAAAAACCAATAATGATCTTTTATTGGATCCTATTTCTCGGTTTTAATAGGATACAAATTGAACTCAATTTCGACCCATCTCCCTTATTACCTAGATTACTGAATTCAAAACTACCTTTTATGAAAAACAATTCTCAGTATATATATGTGGACAAAGAGAAAGAGCTGGAACTCAAGGATTCTAAAAATTATGCGTTATTTTTTACATTATAGATTTATGACATCGGAGTGAAGTTATCTAATGCCAGTTGTGGAAAAATTACCTAATCAGTAAAAAATATTCAGTATATAAATATTTCAAATCATTCACACTCTCCTAGATTTTATATAAGCGCTGAAATAACCTAAAATAATAATGTGAATATCCTTTTTGATAGACCTGAACTAATATTAGAACTGTAATTAATCAGTTTCGTAAAATATATGACTTGAAGGAGAATATAAGGCTGAGTTAACAAGGAAGAGGGCAGTGTAGGAATGGAGCGCGGCAGCCTTGAATCCTCCTCCAGTTTTAATTAAAATGTTTCACATTGATCGGGAAGGGGGGGGGGGAGACGTATCAGTTACCAGGACCGTGTGTGAGTGACAAGCCATTCAATTAATTTGAATCATTTCATCCCTCGTTCCTGCCAAATGCGTAATCTACTAGTGGTGATGCCGCTGCATTATCACATATACTGTCATCTCCAAAACTGTAATATATAGAGGATTGCGAAATCAAATAATTAATCAATCAATTAATAAATCTGTCCTAACATAAAACGTTCAAGACTGAGTTTTGTAGCTCTAAACATTTTATGTCCTAAATGTTCGTGGCCGATAATTTAATCTATTTTAATGGTAGGAGTTCGTAACGGAAATCCCGGTTACGATAAAATACTTTCCTTATGCTTGCGTTTCTGTATGTTTTAAAGATATCACTAAAATTCATCAGTGTTCTCGTTCGTTAGCAAGAACTTCATCGCGTTTTATAATTCTCAAGTTTTATTTTGTTTTGCTGTAACCATTTTGATTATAACAAGATTTGGAAACCTATCTTGTTTTATCTTTTCGATAGTTAATTTCAGTTTTAATTATTGGAATTTTGACATCGCACTTAAGGTTGGGACACACTTGCCCGCACCACGCCTGAGTCGATCCACGGCCGTATGAAGTACCCGATAAAATCAAATACAGTTAGGCTAAGTTAAAACGAGGACTAGCTACGGCCATATTTGATTTTATCTAGAAGCTAATTCATACGAGCATGAAATTTTTCACCACAGTTTTGTTATTTAAAAATAGATTCTCAAATCTTAAAGTTCCTTACTTCTTAGATTTCCAAATCGTGAGGGAGGTGACATTCCCATTGTCTTCCTTCTATCGTAACGATGTTCTTGTATTCTATCGTTACAGCGGCCTCAAGAAGGTAGTGGTGCACCAACACGTTTATTCATTGTTGTCAACACATTACTTATTCCATTGAACTTACATTTGTTTATAAATATAAATCTTTATATATTATTTCTAAAACTTGTCGCAACGCCATAACTTCATTAAATCTAACGATTGAGCCCTCATTTTAAAGATCTCTATTAGGTGGTAAAAATAGTTACATCCCTCGAAATTTAAGGAACAAAAATTATGAAGGAAAAGAATCTTTATTTGCGAATAACTCATAAAGTGTACTTTTTTTTTCTGGATTGTACCCAAGATTATTTTATTTTTTATGTATTGAATAATAATATAATCAGCCACTTTTACATGATTATTAGAAATGTTACTAAATTACCTACAAACAAAAAAAAAAAAAAAAAAAAAAAAAAAAAAAATCGTAAAAATCGGTCCATTTTCACTGAACATACATTAGATTTGATATACATAAAACTATCTTCCTTTTACTATTTAACTGCCGGTTTTTCCTGACTGATATACGCTGTATTGTTTCTTAAAGGCATTTTTTTTTTGTTACATTTTATATTTTTTAATAATATATCAAATCCTACTTATGAGGCCTTATTTTGAATATGTTTGGAAATATTGCGCGTTATAAATAGGCCTCTGAAAAGTACAAATATTTTGGTCTATTGTGTTAAGTTGTATTCCACTAAGGAAAACACAGGTAATTCCTTCCTCACATAGTACATAAGCTTTACTTATTTGCATATTATTTTGCTGTTTTCGTGAAACAATTTATTTTGCGAATTATTCGCACGGGCCAGCTGTAGTTTATTAATAAGAACCTACTACTCAAATTTTCACAAATGATGTGATTACCAACTAATCAACAAAAAAGGATATCTTTTGTAACGTGTTAGATTTCGGCGATACCAAACATATTCGAATGAAAACGATCGGATTGAACGGAAAATTTGGCGATGTGAAAGTAATTAAAAAACATAGGAGCTTATGAATTATAATTCTTATAATAGAGGACAATACAAATCGACGATAAAAATAACGAGAAAAGCAAGTTCTCTAAGTCATTAACGGAAGGGAAAGGGAAAATATAGTATTTCATTTTGTGCATTGATGATGATTGCCTGATAAAAATATGGAAGGGGCAGTAAAATGGGGAGGATTGCAGTGGCTGAAAGGGCTTGCGGGCGGGATGGGACCGGGAGTAATCACCTCCGCCTCCTGTCTTCCCTTTGTCGGGCAAAACATTAATTGAAATTATCGACCTGAGGAGCTGGGGCTCTTACGGGATTTATTTTACCTAGTGCCGTTTTATTCGGCCGCATTAAGCCCTCATATCAACTTTTCCAATTATCCTCCCTCCCTCACCCTCTTTAGCTGTGGCAGTAATTATTAAGTGAGGGGGGGGGGGATTGGATTATTCAATCGGGAACCCCCTCACCACTTTAGTTCAGTCGAATTTTAATGCACAGTTTCTTAATTAGTATATTAATGGGGTTGAGGAAGATATAGAGTAATCGGCCTACCTATTAATATTGCAGATTCCAGATGGGATTAAATCAAGCAGCGGTTTCGGATAGCGCTGGCTATATTTCAATCGACTCTCCTTGTTTTTTTATTCCTTACGTAAAAATTGCATCTTTAATTAGTTTCGCGCATGTGGATAATGCGTGAATAGTTTGAGATAAAAAAAAAATCTGATGCAACTTATAGGACTGCCACTTCAGATCTGCGAGTTGGCAAAGTAATACTTAAAAATTAGAGAATACTAATTATGGTCTACTGGACAAGTTTGTATGCGAAATTTGTGAAGATGATGTATGTTCTGTATACGATTTAGTAGTAATACTACCTACTGCAATTTTTTCGATTTTTACATAAAATAAAAAAATCCCAGAACCTTAATTAATATCTTAAGATACATACATCAGAATAAAACAATACAGATTTTTTTTGACAGTCGAAGTTGTTTTTAAAAATGTATTCTCTGTATTACTTTTCAGGCATATTGTAAGGTAGAGAAGTATCTTACCTACTGCCCTCTTATAAGGTATGTATAAGGAAAGATATTCCAAAAGAAGGTGGAAGGTCCGAGTAGGGGCACTTTAATATTTGAATGTTAGGATAGCGGGGAGAAGTGAATCGGAAAAGCGGAGAAAAGTTGCTGTCACCGATTCCCCTAGGGTGTTAAGAGGACAGGTCCGCTGTTCCCTTGCATGAAATTTATATGAAATCATAGTAGAACCCTTTCTATTGGCCGGTCGGCGGGTAATGAGCCCGGCGTGGACATGGTGATTTCCCGAGGGCCCCCTAAAACCTCGGGCCCGTCCCAGGGTCATGTTTAATATCACTTTTGTCAGTCCTCAGATATTCTTATACCGAGAGAAACAATCTCCTTGAGCAACTCAAATATACATGCCCTATGTGCCCACCCTCCTCAAATTGAAAACAGGCACTTCTCCTGGCGCGGGTATTACCCCCTGGCTATATACGACCCTGGTCCCTCCTATGGGTATTGGCACATACATACGGATCCTATCATTTCTTATTTCTCGCCCTTTCGGCCGGGCACTAACCTTGCAAATAATATTCGTTTCTGTTGAAACTTTTGGCTACTTGCTGGACTTACTTTTACTCTAATATTCCTCCTTCCCAACCTATCAAAGTATACCCAGGAATCTACAAATGTATATTTGTAGAACTTCAAAATAACTTAGAGTATTCAAAATAATAATATGATTAGGCAATTTGTCTTTTATGGTGATTTGTGAGATCTATTTTGTATTTAATCTAGAAATTAATCAATACAATCCAAAATCCTTCTTAAATTCCTCAATGCTCCTCCATACTTGTCACAAATAAAATCGTCCATAACGACCTTAATGTACCACATGTTCCATAATAAAATTATGAACCATCCGAACCCTCTTGTTTCCAACCTTGCTTCCTCTTCTATTCCTGATAACCCTCCGAGGCGTCTGAAAAGAAGATGGCCTCAGGACCTTCTAATATAG